ATCTTTCACTTTCACTCTCTCTATACATTTTAATATATACAGTACATATGTTACATTGTTATATGTTATATTACATATGTAATATATATGTACAGTATATCAATGTGTATATATCAATATTTTGCAAACTTGTGTCCTGAACAATACTGAAAAGAATATAAAGTTAGAGAAGTAAATGCCAGTATATGAAGCATATTATTAGAGGTCTGTGTGTTGATGACTTGCCCAGAGCTGTAGGAGTGATGGGAGCTTGTGAATGTCAAAGCTACGTCTATGTATACTTTTTCTACATCACTTGTTGAAATAGTGGATTTTGTTCCAGAAACCACTTATTTGGATTGCATTCCTTCTGTAGGATTTTCTGCACCTCTGCTTTATATTTCATAATCCTGATCTCATTCATCCAGCAGTCAGCTGTGTATTCTTGTATAAATATATCTGATCTGATATACAGCTGTATACACAGATGTTCTCTCTGTCAAAGCCAAAGATGTCTGTGCCAATTTTTTTTTTTTAAGTATTGAACACAGGAAAGATGGCTGATCTTGGCAGGCTTCTAATCTGAAGAAATATGATTAATTGTAATTGGTATAGAAATTACTGTGAGGATCTGTCAGAAAGCAAAGAATACTTGGACATACAGCAGTTCAACTACTGGATGAAGGTCCCACCAAGTCTTTAAGTGTTTGGATTAGTATTCCCACAATGCAAAATGTCCTTTGCACACAGGCATACGAGTGCACATAGTATTGGTCACAACTGATTTTTTTTTGGAGGTAATAGGCTCCTGGCTGTTTGAGAGTTACCTAAAAAAAGGTATATTTTCCACTGCTGATCACTCAACAATGATATTATAAATGTAAAATTAATTTCTGCATGGTTTCAATCAGCCCTGTGACACTTTGATGATACTTCATATGCAATATATTTAATTTAAATTATTGAGAGTGAAATAATTACATTTGGGTGATTAACATGCCATTGCAGAAACATGCCAGATTGCCTAAGCATAGCTCCTGCATATTGTTTGAGGATTACTCACCAATATAAAATTTGTATGAGAACTGCCTTGCAATGCATGTACCAGTGGCAGGAAAGCCAAAAAGGGATTGCAGTATTAAAAGCAGGACAATCTTAGAAATATTGTATATATATATATATATATATATATATATATATATATATATATATATATATATATATAATATGTATAAATCATGTTTATTAAAATAGAGTTTCTACCTGTTTATATATTTCTGTGTTCTGTGCAAATATGAAGGTGCCAATAGGTTTAACAATTGTATAGTGTAATTGATAACCACTCATTAGGTAGTTTTGACATGAAAGCTGGCTTATTTTTTTCACTGCTCTGCTGGCCCATCAACCTTCCTGATTCTCATCTAAGAAGCTGTTCAGTTTAAAGTCAAGGTCAGCTGAGTCTACATTTGTTCTCCTGGACTAACTGGCCCCTCTATGAGCACATGAACCTATTTGTCTGGTATTTTCCAAATAACAGACAACCGTTTAGTACCCACTGGATAACCTGCTGAAAATGTAATCATTCTTCCAGTGCATAGTCCCCAACTGTGAAATGTGCTCCAGTGAGTCAAAAACAGGGGGAAAACACAAACTTATCTTCATCTGTAGGAGTTATAAACATAAATGGGGTTGATTTACCCAAGGAGTAGAAGCTATTCAGTTTGCAAAGAAAATAATTTCTATTCCTATAGTAAATAGTTAAAAAATTTGATCACTTTGGGGTGTCTGTTCTCCAAAATTGGGTCATTTTTGGGGTGTCTGTTCTGTTTTTTTGTACTGTCTTAGCATGATTTTTTTAACAGGCAGAGAAAGCTCAATTGTTTAGAGGCATTTGTGTTATCTTCATGCCTCTGAATGTAGCTCTGTTTTAGCCAATGTGTTCAGGCATAAGGTGGCTTTGAGGTTCATATTTTAGAGCAACATTCTGGGGCATTTAGAGAGGAGCTTACTGGCACAATTTATGCACATAAATGAACATGTATGCATGTATAATAATTCCAGGATAAACAAATATTCTAGCCAATAGAATGAGTTTAGCACATACGCATCTCAATGTCATAGGTCTGTAAACATACATAAATTCACATCATTATGCACAAGAATTCTTTATGTTGGATTTTTCTGCCAGCTTCTGTCAGAAAGATCCAGCATAATTGGGAGTTTTTTTAAAGCTCCTTATACTCACAAAGTTGCTTGGGAAAATTGCATAAAAAAATTCATCCAAGGAGAGATCTGCTGTATGGTTACAAAGAATATTCAACTGCTGATCCCCTACAACAACCCACTCACTGCCTCAAATATGCATTCTGGCTTACGCGTTTTCAAGGGAAAACCTTCATCAGAGTTCCCTTTGTGAGTATATAATAGTATACTATTTAATGTTTTATCACACAATGCCAGTGCACTCTGTCTGTTCTTTAGTGTATGCAAGGATTCCCCAGTCTGGAGAAAGTTGAGTTGTGGATATCATCACTTATTCTTGCGAGATCATCTGAATGAACTTTGAATGCACATATTCGTATATATACATTCAGTTGTATCTGACTCTCTACGATTCTATGGGCCAGTTCTCTTGACACCATGTTTGATACAGTTGAAAGCCTTTTCCATAAAATGTTCTTGGCAATTTTTTTAGGAGGTAGGACCCCAGGTTTCCTCAGCACTCCTCAATTGCTTGGGACTGACATGCAGAATGTGATTACACATGTGCATAGTCAATCTGTACACATAATAGGACCAATTACACAGAAGCCAGTTTAACCTACCACCATGTCTTTGGAGTGTGGGAGGGAATCCAGGGTACCCAGAGGAAACCACATAATTATAGGGAGAACTTGTGAGTCACATGCAGATAGTGTTCTGGCTGAAATTCTAACCAAGCACCCCAATGCTGCAACACATAAGTACTAACCACTTATCCACTGTGCCACTCTCTAAACTTTGAATACAAGCACTTAAATAGCAGAATTGTATAATTTTACCACTTGAGTACTGATAGTTTGTATCTATTTAACATCATGTAGACAGTGGTGTAAATAAATATAGATGAACTTCCAAGGTTCTGCATGCATAAATTGCAGTAATATTCTGTTAAGAATTGTTCATATGTACAAGGAAATGTGAGAAGAAAATTTGTTCTTGGGTAGTTAAAAAGACTCCTCCAGGTGAAGATAAAGGATTTTAGGCATTTGGGGGGAAACTTTCATAGAGATACAAACTCCTCAAGGTGAAATGTTGATTAATAATATGGGTAATTATATTATTATTAGTTGATCAATAAAAATTATTATTATTTCATTTTTGTTGAGTAAAATTTGGCTGTTCTTTTTTAATAATGCTGCTGTTCAAATTTCTCAGGAAATATTTGCTGCTGCTAAATTGAAAAAGTACACCATGGAGCAGGGCCCTCCTAACCCCCTTGTATTGAACTGTATTGTTGCTGTATTCTCTCCCTTTATATTGTAAAGTGCTGAACAAACTGTTGGCGCTATATAAATCCTGTATAATAATAATAATAAAGTACACTGTACATTGACACCAGCTGATTTTTTGAAACCTTATGAAAAACTGGTATGCCTGAGTTCACCCAGCAAAGTTTAAAAATTCCCCTTTGAGAGAGGGCAGTAAATTGTCTTCTCTAGAATATTGGTAGTAAGTGCCGTGCATCCACATAGAGTACAAACAATACAATGGTATACTGGTATACATCTATTGGCTCTTCTGTTGTGGTGAACTGCAAGTCTAATCATACCCAGTAAAATTGCTAACCTTGTCATTTTTGTTCTATCACATTTCATAGAAGTAATATGTGGCTCCATTTTATGGGACATTGGGTTCATTTTGACCACACACAGCATTGTGAAAGGCAAAATAATACAATATTGTCGTTCCATCTGGATTGGTCCGATGGATAGATCCATTTGGAATGCTTGTGTGAAAGGGGCCTAAAAGTTATATAGTTTTGTCAAACTGAAGCAAAATACAGGTCTATCTAGTTCAACCAACAGAAAACAAATTATAAAAACCTCCTTACATAGAACCCTTTACCCACAGTTGATCCAGAGGACTGCCAAAAAAAAAACCCAAAAACATATAGCATGTTCCTGTTTACTTCAACAGGAAGAAAAAAATTCCTTTCTGATCCCTTAAAGCAATCAGTTATTGCCTGGAATATTGTATTTATTGGGCTTTAGTTAATAACATCATAAACGGAACAATTATGTGTACATATCCATACCAACTATACAAATTTATTCTGCGTAATATAGTCATAAAAATAAAATATAGCTTTTAAGTAGCTGCCTTGTGGTATTAAAATGTCCAAACTTGTGATAGTTTTCTTTTTAACAAATTAGTATTTATGACTGATGTGAATGTCTTAGATTGTAAGCTCCAAGGAGCAGGTCCCTCCTAACCCTCTTGTATTGAACTGTATCATTGCTGTATTGTTTCCCTTTATATTGTGAAGCGCTGAGCAGACTGTTGGTGCTACATAAATCCTGCATGATAATAATAATAATGTACAAAATGTATGTAAAGAAAGAGCTGCGTAAATGATGTGCGCTGTATAAATACCTTTAATAAATAATTTAATAATTTTTCTTATTAATTATTTAATAAATAAATAAACCTATTAGGTTGTAAGTTTGTAAGGTTGGGAATAGGACCCTCTTAACCCTCTTGTATTTTATGGTATTGTAACTCTACTGTCTACTTTAAGATTGTAAAGCTCTGCACAAACTGTTGGCACTATAGAAATCCTGTATAATAATAATAATTATATCAAATTATACATTACAGTGTGTTGTGTGGATATGGTGGAGAAGGTCCAGCACCCTCTGGTGTCCAGACTGGTGCATGTCAGAGAAGAGTCACCTGGAAGCTCTGAACAAGACTCACAAATTTCCTTGGACAGAGGAAAACTTGAGGGATCAAGGGCAGGAGGAAGTAGCGGAAGTGGAATGGGGGGTCGTCCAGCTGCTGCCAATGCTGCCCGTGAGAGAAACAGAGTGCAGACCTTACGTCACGCTTTCCTGGAGCTCCAGAGGACACTACCATCTGTGCCCCCAGATACAAAGCTGTCTAAGCTGGATGTTCTTATACTTGCTACAACCTACATTGCACACCTTACCCGCAGTCTCCAGGAGGAGGATGAGAGGAGCCAGAACCTCCCATCCACCAGCCCCAGCAGCTCCAGCAGCCTCAGTCCAGATCTTCTTGGGTCTTTACACAGTGGAGATGGATACTTACATCCTGTCAAGGTGAGTTATATAGTCTGTCCATAACTGTTTTCATTAAGTGACAATTCACACCAGAAAGCAGTGAGGGAAACCCATGTTCTGTGCGTATTTCCCACATCACGTTCAAAACGCACTGTAGCGATCTGCAGTGGGTGTCAATGTAAAGTTAATGACACCCCATATGCAGTGCGTTTGCCCACACCAGATCATGTGGTACAAAAGTACCCTGTCATGCAGTTGCGGTGAGTTTGCAAAAGTACTGCATGCACTACTTTTCCTGCGGTGCAGTGCGATTTCAGCTCATTCAAAATGAATGGGCTGAAATTGCACCACACAGACCGCCTGTGAATTGCACAGGAACACAGAGCACATTCCTGTGCAATTCCCGGGTGTGAACCAATCCTAAAATTACAATACAATGAAACTGGAATTTAAACAATGAGATATAAAGATGCCTTCAAGAGCAATTCCAGGCAACGTAAAACAGTCAGTTTTCCACTCAAGCTATCCAGCAAATACTGTATGTGTGCTAAAATAGTACATTTCAATCTCAATTTACCTTCATCTGGATTCTCTGCAAGTCCCTGTAGAAAAAGTCAGAGAGTACCTTACAAGATCACTGTGAGAGTACACCCTGAAGCTGTGTAACTTTCTGAGATACTAGTTTCTACCTACTATTTTTTTTTAATATCAGGCTCCTGTCAGTGAGAGAAATCTGAACTAGTTATACTTGGAAATAGCTCTCTTACCTAAAGCAGATCTCCACCCAGAAGGGGAAGTTCTGCTTTAAGGCTTTGTCTCCTGCTCTCCTTTAAGGATTGACACCTTTGGGGAGTGGGGGAAGGGAGGTGGGGAGCGGGTAACCGCAATTGACAGGTACCCGCTTTCACTTCCACTGTAATCGCCTAAGGTGATCGGAACTTGTCCTCCCCCTTCACTCCCCCATAGTCTTCTGGGACACGTGATAGGTCCCAGAAAACTACGGGACCATTCTCAAAGTGCAGCGCTATTCGCGCATGTGCAGTGGGCACCCGGCTGTGAAGCCACAAGCTGTCACAGCCGGGTGCCCACACTGTAGATGCCGGCACTGGGGAGGAGTGAAGATGGCTGGTGAAACCAGCGGTGGTGAGGACACTACTGGACCAAGGGACAGGTAATGCCCCGTACACACTATAAGAATATTGTACGAAAAGTTTTGTACAAGGACCGATCGTCCGATAATGGGATCGTAAGTTCACAGCTTTCAAGAGCCGATCACGACAATTTGTGCGACAATATCCGAAGTGACAAGCGCAAAAATTTTTCTCGCACGATACCAGATCATATGATTTTTGTTTAATCAGTACAGTAGTCCTTCGAAAATATAATACAAATACAATACATGATATCACTTTCAAAATTCTTTTCTTTCATAGGAGAATTTTCGTATCTTTAATAACCTTTTCACTTCTGATGTGAGACTAGCATGCGATAAAACACGGGCGATTGTTCGTCCAATATTCTCATTATACGGGGCGTCAGTGTCTATATTTTAAATGTCAGCAGCTCCAGTTTTCGTAGCTGCTGACTTTTATTTATTTTTTTTTTATTCAACTGGAACTCTGCTTTAATTGTAGGTGTTCTCAGATTCACCAAGCCTGACAAAAGTTGATTTAAAAATCTCTTGATCATGGTGGAATATTACCTATCAGGTGCAGTCACTGTTCCACATTGCCATTGTATTCAAGCAGCTGTGGTTGCCTAAATACAGTCGCCAGCACTGTAGATTCCTCCAGGTACGCTGTTAGTGTGGAAGGTGAAATCAATTTATTTTCAAACTATGTATGATTGCTCTAACTGTAGTGCTTAGAATGTAGCTGTCATTCTCATCCAGGGTTTTATTGAATCATAGGGTTCCTCCAAATGTTACTTGGGTTTCATGAGCCATGGCAGGTTGGCTCCTCATTTGTTGCCTGCATAGTTCTAGGGGCCAACATGAGTTGGCAGAGTCAGTGGCATAACCCCAATGATGCTTTTATCTGTCTGTAAGGCCGGCATTCTTCTCATTGACCACCAATTTAATGAGGCATACCTAGAGAATTTGTTGCTCTAGGTGGATCAGTTTTGGCACTGAAATCCTCTCATTTAAAAAATAAATATTTTTCAGTAATATTCACAAAATTAAAATGAAGGGTAATAATAATATCCAGAAAAGAAATATTACAGACTCTCTTACATTGGTGGTTAGTAAAGATTTGTCTCATTAAATTGGTGGTCAATGAGAAGAATGCCAGCCTTACGGACAGCTAAAAAGAAATAGTAATATTTCTTTTCTGGATATTATTATTACCCTTCATTTTAATTTTGTGAATATTACTGAAAAATATTTTTGAAATGAGAGGATTTTAGTGCCAAAACTGATCCACCTAGAGCAACAAATTCTCTAGGTATGCCATATTATTATTATGGCTATAACTCACTATCTTTATAATGTACCGTGAGCTGTCAGTAACATTTTTAGCTGGGGTTTCCTAGGATAAAAAGGTTGAGAAAGGCTGATCTAGAGTATATACTTATAGACATGGGGTTGATTTACTAAAACTGGACAGTGCAAAATCTGTATGGTAGCCAATCAGCTTCTAACTTTAGCTTGTTCAATTAGACTTTGACCAAAAAAAATTTAAGCTGACTGGTTTCTATGAATAGTTGCACCAGATTTTGTACCCCATAGTATGCTATGTTGCAAAACTGAAAAAAGAGAGAACTTTGGGTATTTTTCTCATGTAATCAAAACACAAATAAGCAAGTATAGAAAAAAAAATATCAGAAAAAACTTTATTACAACAACCATAACCATTAGCCAATCATCCTTAGATTAAAAGGTATTGCCTTATCCATGTTATTTGATAGTCATGAGAAGAGAAACCAAGTGCAATTCACTTGTAAGGCAGTCCACTACTGCTGATAACCTTAGAATCAGTTGATATATATTGATGTCAAACAATGATCTATAGATATCTGCTGTCACCATGCATGCAGTCTGGTTTTCTATGGGATCATTGGCTAATAACATTGATTTTTGTTATAATTATATTTTTTTGGATTTTTTTTCACTTATTTGTGTTTTGATTGAATCTGAGATAAGTACCCAAAGCTCTCTCTTTTCTTAATTTGATATTTGGAGTAGGGTCTGTGTCTCCCCCTTTTTTTTCTCGCAGGGATTGCCTTCCCAAAATAAAGAAATATGCTATAAGCGTCTAGTCATTTGCCCTTACTGCAATCCTCTTCAATTAGTAAAGTTTGTACCTTTTTTTCACTTGACCATGAAAAACATTCTAATATGTATCCATTTATAATTATAATAGAGAACTGAGATATCCCAAAATAGGAAATGGCACTGAATTCTTAGGAAAGTTATGCAGTTGCTCAACAATCTTATTTGGTGCTTCTTCTCTCATTTATCTTCATAGTTCATAGTTACATAGTTAGTCTGGCTGAAAAAAGACAAAAGTCCATCCAGTTCAACCATAAAAAAAAAAGTTATAATCTTATACCCACAGTTGATCCAGAGGAAGGCAAAAAACCCCCCCAGCAAAGCATGATCCAATTTGCTCCTACAGGGAAAACAATTCCTTCCTGATCCCCCGAGAGGCAATTGGATATTCCCTGGATCAACTTTACCTATAAATGTTAGTATCTAGTTATATTCTGTGTATCCAAGATAGAATCCAGGCCTTTTTTAAAGCAATCCACTAAGCTGTCCAGAACCAACTCTTGAGGGAGTCTATTCCACATTTTCACAGCTCTCACTGTGAAGAAACCTTTCCATGTTTGGAGATTAAATTTCTTTTCCTCCAGATGTAAAGAGTGCCCCCTTGACCTCTGTAATGACCTCAGGGTGAATAACTCTACACCGAGTTCACTAGATGAACCAATGATGTATTTATACATGTTGATCATATCCCCCCTTAATCTCCTCTTCTCAAGACAGAATAAATTCAGTTCCTCTAATCTTTCCTCATAGCTGAGCTCCTCCATGCCTCTTATCAGTTTGGTTTCCCTTCTCTGTACTTTCTCCAGTTCCCCAACGTTCTTTTTGTGAATTGGTGCCCAAACTGAACTGCATATTCCAGATGAGGTAGTAGTAATGATTTCCAGATTCGTTATAATGATATATATACAACACTTTCTTCTGATTAGGTATCTGGAACAAATGATTATAACAGATGACCTCTTTCAGAATTGTAAAGCATATAACAATCTGGGACTGTGATGCAAATGTCTGAAGTGTTTACCAGTGTATCAGATGCATTATTACATAACTGAGTAGAAGGCTGATTACCTTTTGTATCACTTGACCCTCCCTCCTAGATTTTAAGCTCTAACAACCAGGACCCTCTGATTCCTCCTGTATTGAATTGTATTGTAATTGTACTGTCTGCCCTCATGTTGTAAAGCGCTATGCAAACTGATGGTGCTATATAAATCCTGTATAATGATAATAATTGATGGCACAAGGAGCACCTAGGTAGCTGAGAGGCGGACCTACCACTACAGATAGGCAGAGAAATAGCCAACCGTCCAATATCTATACCAGGCAGGAAGCAGCTGGGGGAAAAATAACACAGAACAAAGTCAACAACACAGAAGTAACAAAATGAACTGACATCTGTCAGATGGTAACGCAGTTGAAAAGAAAAGGCCAGAAGAGACAGCATGGTACTGGATTAATGGAGAGAAGTATAGTTAAGTCTGAATTCAATCTAGGTTGCCCTGCAGACATTTATAAATTGATTAAAGTGGGTGGAAAATTGTTAGGTGTTCTTGATATTATAACCTAATTAGGCCAAGTGGTCAATATTGATCAACATAGTCAATGATGCCACATGCATCTCCAACCCTTTATGAATGTGTAGCTGCAGGGCACGGAATGCCATAGCTGCTGATTGGGATGGCACTGTCAGCTTCCTTCCTGACCAAACCCAAGCTCATTCTAATCTCCATAATTAGATAGAGGGGGTTGCTTTGTAGTTTACAGAAGATATCTGAGAAAGCTGATAACACTG